GATCCACTGTGCGAGCGGACAAATGTTGAGAGAGTTTTGTCACGCTGTAGCAAAGATCTGGTCTAGTAGAAGTCATCAGATAGAGTAAACTGCCAACTATCTCTCTATATAATCGTTTCAGGCGTGGATCTAGGGGTAGGCAACATAGTCAATTGACTGGTAAATTATCCAGATAATAATTACCGAATTCCCAGTTCCCAATTCCCAAAGTATTCATTCAGAAGTGGAAACATGACAGTTAATTATTCATATTTTCATATCACAGTCCAGTTATTTATAGATATATAGCTCATTGGTATTTAGGCAAGCCATAAAGCAAGCCGATGAGAGGCAGCTATTTTGCCTATGCCTGGCGGCCGATACAGCTTTTTGATTGGCTAATAGCTTTTTTGCCTAACCAAGACAAATTTGCCTAACTTGACGTAATCTGGAAGCCTTCTGATTGAGTAATTTTTAAAATTCTATTCTTTCATTGGCTTGCATTTTTTGCCTAATCTTTGGCGAGTTGAACCAATCACTGTGCTTCGTAACCATACATGTGTTAGTCATGTTAGGCAAAGAGTGGAAACATGCCTTTTCAATCGCTCTGAGCATTGAAGGATTAAATCTTGAATTTATCTTCTGCTTTTTCGTGTTCACTTTGTTATTGTGTTATTTTGCAACGTCTTCATCGTCTTGTAGTGATTTGTACGAGCCATTCAAACGATTTAGAGTGTCTAAATGACGATCGTTCAATCTTTGTATTTATGAAAGCAACATGCTCAAGGCTAAGCTCAAATTTTTGTGTGGAGTTATACTATGTGCCAAACGGCACGCTCGTAATGGCAAGAAAAAGGCTTCTACTGCAATAAGTTAAACTTTATTTTGTTTATTCCATGCTACACTTCTATATAACTGTGTTTTTAGATCTCAAATCGGCAAAATGATTGTCCAACAACAAGCATAGCTAGTCTTTATGTATTCAAATATAAATTTACATATGTCTGCGCTGGCCAGGTCAAAAGGTTGCTATGTATGAATATATAACTTTAATATGATATGAAAGACACAAAGTTAGCATGTTCACTTTTAGTTACTTGTTATTATTCCGTATTCCTGATGTATATCACATGTATAAATACGTTCATATGAAAATTATGACTGAATACATCATGATGTTGGCATTGCAACTCTGCCGTCAGTCCGCGATATAATGGTCTGATACTTGATCTAGCGTGATTTTAATTTCCTGTTTTGAATATTTCCTACTTCTCCTAAGTTCTGATGCTTTAGCTTCGGCCCTAGTCCTAGTAGGTAACAATAATACTCAAAGTTGGGACTAAGGAATAGTCATCTCAAAAACAATTATTAGCGTCTATTTTTAATACATCTTTTGTAGTTATTGTAGTTACATTAAGAGTGTAGCCCTAATATGGGGCGAAGCAGTTCAGCTGGTAGTCTGAAGACTATCATTAAAAAATATCATATAGACGTCATAAAATTTGACTATCAGTATGAAAAATCCTAGATCCGCACCTGAATCGTTTGTCAGCTGGTTATGATTCTACTCTGTCTCTGACATTCTTCGTTGAGTTCATTTCACATGGTGAGGTTCTAAGCTTACAGTTTTCCATTCCGAATCTAGATAGGACTTTCTCTATGTATTTAGTCTGACTCATCTTAATAGTGCCTTCTGTACAGTTAAATTATATTCCTAAAAACTACGACAACACACCTAGGTCCTTCATTTGAAATCTGTCTCCTAGATTTCTCTTCACCTGTGTTAAACTGTCTGTACTATTTGAAGCTACTAGAATATCGTCTACCAAAACTATTAGGATTGTAGTTGCACTAGTTTCTACCTTAACATAAACGCAATTGTCAGATTCCGACTGAATAAAACCCTCACTTGTTAGATAAGAATGTAACACACTATTCCAATTACGACTGCTTTGTTTCAAACCAAATAACGATTTATGCAATTTCAGAACAAGGTTTTCGCAAGGCTGTCTTGACATCCATCTGGTGTATAGTCAAATTGTATTGTACTGTTAATTGCATCAAAATTCTAACAGATGTCATTTTTGCTGTCGGAGAGAATGTTTCCTTATAATCAATTTCGGGAGTTTGGGAATACCCCTTTGCAACATAGCGTGCCTTGTAGCTTTCCTTTCGGATTATTCTTAATGGCATATACCAATCTTCCCCCGACTGCGTTTTTACCCTCTGGTAGTTTTGTCAGTTCAAATGTGTTGTTATGTTTTAGGGCTTGCATTTCATCTTCCATGGCTATTTGCCACTTGGAAGAATCATGGGAAGAAATTGCTTCCTGATAAGACTTGGGAGCATCTGTTATTCTGTAGCAATCGATTGTGAAATCTGACAAGTTTGTTTTCTTTAATTTCATCCCCATCAGCAAACTGCTCTAAATACTTAGGTTTTGTGGGTTCACGCCTGGGATATCTGCTTGTATTAGTTTGCTCATTGTTTGTGCTTTGATTAGTTGCAAGCAACTTGTTAGTATTTGTTAGTTTTGAAACGCATTTAATTTCTATAATTCTATATTAATATATTTTACATATTTACATCAACAAGACGCCAGCGATATTAATTCGCATGCGGAACTTGGCAAAGGTGTGACGGCCATGCATCAAGTTGATGCGTTTGGCAAAAACACCTTCAGTTGAAACATAGACGTTATTGGGATAACAACTGTGTTGGACACTGCTGGCGCAAATATTCTATCAAGCTCAAATTGTTGTCTTTGGTGCGTGTGTAAACCAAAGTGAGTTAAACTCATAGTTATATTTAGTTCTTTTGTTAACTTATATATAGTTTGTTACCAAGACTTTATTTTCGTATTTACGAACCTTTGATTTAGTTTTGTTTATGGAACACTTCGAACACTGTTCAAGTTGTCTTGCATGCAGATTATTGTTCATGACCTGCTATTTTATCTAATGTATAGGCCGCACATGAAATGGTTAAAGTTGCGTGGTGTATGTGCATGTGATCACTCAATACTGTATTTAGTATAGCTATTGTTGTTTTGTGTTCTCTAGTTCGAACCTACTATCTGCTACTATCTACTATTATCCACTACGTATTTACATTCCTGATAACCTGCCTACCTATATCTACCCACTGTGATATACAACCTTTGCTACCACGCCGATCTGATGTCAATTTGCATAGTCAACCAAATAATTTCGATATTAAAGTAATCATTTATTAACTGTCTGCTTGCACATTGATTGCTTATTCTATTCTGTCGACTTCAAAATATCAGCGCACCGCCTAAATCTCTCGCGACACGTGACTGCAAACTATCGTTCTGTCTGTGAGAAGTACATTTAAGTTCGAATTTGCTACACCGTGAAGGAATTCAAAGAATCTAAAGAATTTAATCGACTGTTTTGTGCAACTGCAGCGGCCAAGTCGTATTAAAGGGTTTCCTGCCCAAAAATCAAAACAATCAACTGTTCTGTGCAACTCCTGCGGCCGAAGTACTGCGAAAGGAAATGTAACCAGGAAAGCTAATAAGCTTAATGAGCTAATAAATTCAAAGGTCGAAACTGAGGCTGTTAAAAATGCCTTGAAGGAACTGCTTGAAGTTTGGAGCCAATTTCAATTAGCACACCATAACTACCATAGTTTAATTAGAGATGAACAAGCGATTCAAGAGTCGAAAGTGTACGCTGATTCCTTGGAAGAATTATTTTCAGAGCTTCAAGAAAGGGTCAATTTGTGGCTTGAGCAATCTATCGATCATTCCCAATCAAACGAACCAATTCAACCCGAGAAACAAATCCAACCAGAAGATTTAGTGAGCTCCGTTGGATCACGCCGTTCGTCACGTGCTCATTAGAGAGCAAGTTCTTTAAGAAGTGCGTCAAGTGCCAAAGTGAAGGCGGCAGCGAGACAGGCAGCACTAGAAGCTAGAGCAAATGCAATGGAAAGGATGCATAACCTCCAATTAGAAGAACTAAAAATCCAAAAAATGAAATCTCAAGTACAGCTTCAAGCAGAGATAGCCTCAGCCGAACAGGGCCGGATTAACCATATGGCAGAAGCGCCATATGCAGCGGGCCCCGCGGTGTTGGGGGCCCCGCGCTTTCTCTTCAAAAAAAATAAAATGGGAAAAGTAGGCAGTTCACGGTTGACAAAAGCGAGGGGCCCAATTCCTCAAACGGCAATACTACAAGCATCACTGGCGAAATATAATTATTGTATATTATGTAATTGTTTATGAAATGCCACATTATATGTGACAATTTGCGTTAATTTAGCTGCAGATATTATATTACACAGAATAACACAGTGTCTGACTGTCTGGCAAGTAGAATTGCAACTTGATATTGTAGTTTACATAATTATAGCGCTCTGGCTCTGTCGGATGACACTCAAACCACACTCAAACCTTTTATGTTTTCTTGATCCATTTAATAATATCTGAGGACTGAGATTATTGCTACTGTCTGTCTGTCGTTGGCCAGTTCAAAGTGAAGGTACTAACAGGGTCTTACTGAATGCTCACTGCTTACGCTGTAAGTTTTGATAATTTTATAGCTGCCATATGTATTTTCGCGTTTCTCCAATAGCTACCATTCCTACCAAATCAACGTGGTTGTTTATTGCTTATATATAAAATGCCAATTTATATAAAGTAATGATATATTTGCATGGCGTAATCAGCGCAATGGCAGCGTTATGGCGTACTTATAGAGATTCCACGAAGCGTGCTTGATCGTAGTGAAGCCGCAATTTTGTCTTAATTCTTAAAGCCAATATTTTAGATAAACGGAAGTCGCAAAATTCTCCCGTTTCTAAAAAGGTTTTTACATGCCAATGCTTTTATGTTTATAAATGAAAACCTGTAATTTAACACGCAAATCAATGCTTAGTTTATGTATAATTTCTGAAAATATTGCGGAAAATATTGCTGAAACGGAGCTTTGAAATTTTTAGGTTCGCAGGCTTATTACTACAATATAGTTGGAAAACCCATATTGTTGATTAAAATGAGCTCTACTGGTGGGGGTGGCGACTGCAACCGCGACAAAAATTGCAAATATGCATCCAAAGCAGCAAAACGAAAGGCAAAGGATGAACGAATTGCATGGGAAAGAAAAGTACTTAGCAAAGTGCCAAAAATATCAGAGCTGTTTTCTCCCACTACCAATAGCACCGGTGGCAATGCACCTTATAGCAGCGTAGACGCCCACTTGGATGCTCTGCAATATGACGAAAGTGCTTCTTGTGAGCCGACCACTAATCCTGAAGCAATAGCAGATGCAGTTGAGAAACCCGTCAAGCCAGCAAAATCGTTGGCATCTGGTGATCCGTCCAGTTCCACTGATAGCACTGATGGATATTCTTGTGATTTGGGAATGTGGCCCGCAGATATTTCAGACAGCATGAGAGAGCATTGGGCAGTAAAAGGGAGTGACCAATGCAAAAATTCCGACGCAAATTTCAGCGCAACGTCAACCAGATTTGAGGGACATGTTTACAATCGACGGTGTCAAAAAAGCTTGTTCACATACACACATGAGCTTACAGATCAGCAACATCCTCAAAACTGGCTCTGCTACTCACGATCTAAACACACTGTTTTCTGTTTTGCCTGTAAACTGATGACTGACAGTATCGTTTTTGGAAAACAAGGATACAATGACTGGAAACGCGCATCCCAATCAATTCCACGACATGAGAAAAGTTCAGCACACCTTAATGCTGTTATTCAACTACTCCAACGCAGCGACGCTGGCTGTCGTGTTGATTCGAATCTGGTCAGGCAGGCCAGTGAAGAGCGCAATTATTGGCGGGCAGTACTCGAGCGGGTAACAGAAACTATCCGTCACCTTTCCGAGCGAAGTTTACCATTTCGTGGCTCTGATGAAATCGTTGGATCGCCAAAAAACGGTAACTACTTAGGAACATTAGAACTTATATCCCTGTTCGATCCATTTCTAGCGCAGCACATCAACCGTAACGCAAACAAGGGGAAGGGTCACACATCCTATCTGTCAAAGACCATTTGTGAGAAATTCATCCATCTAATACGCGAGCCTATCTTTACAGAGGTTAAGGCTGCGAAGTATTTCTCCGTCTCTGTAGACTCCACCCCTGATATTTCACACGTTGACCAACTGAAATGCATTCTTCGATATGTTTTACTCTCTGGTCCTGTGAAAAAGATTTTTAACCTTCCTTGACATACGAGGGCACAGCAAAAAAGCACTAGCTGAAACCTTACTCGAGTATTTAAAAAACAATGACATCGATATTGCTGATTGCCGCGGCCAGTCATATTACAATGCGAGCAACATGAGTGGGAAATATAATGGCATGCAGGCCATTATTCAACAGCATTGTAACCTAGCGGAGTACGTACCCTGCGCCGCGCATTCTCTTAATCTTGTTGGTCAGTCATCTGCCAGTTGTTGTCAGCAAGCCACTAGATTCTTCAGTTTCCTCCAACGACTGTACTCTTTCTTTGCTGCTTCACCATGTCGTTGGAAAGTTTTGACTGACCAACTTTCTAGCAAGAGCCTTCCTACAGTCAAACGCATGTCTCATACTCGATGGTCGGCGCGTGCAGACGCTACGAAAGCCCTAGTAAAAGGATATGATGAAATTAACTCTGCTTTAGAATAGATTCATAATGACGAAGATGAGAAGCCGGACGCCAAAGATGAAGCTGGTAGTATTTTGTCTGATATGGACCGACTTAAATTCGGAATTCTTGCGGCATTATGGCATCAGATCCTGGAACGATTCCACAGAACAAGTCAGATCCTGCAATCAGCCGATCAAGACCTCAACACTGCGGTTGCATTATATGAATCGCTGATTGAGTTCGTCCATTCGCTGCGAACAAGATTTGAAGAATTTGAAGCCAAAGGAAAGAAGCTCAGTGAATGTGATATATATGCAGGAGAAGTCAAGCGTGTGCGTAAACGAAATCGCCGTTACGAGGAGCCAGGGTTAGCACCTGAGCTGCTGCAGACTCCAGCCAACAAATTTCGTACGGGAATCTTCCTAGTGATAATCGACAGTCTTGGTACTGAGTTACGAAAACGACTGAGTGCTTACATCAACATTGCTGAAAAGTTTGGCTTTCTACGAAAGCTGGCAGACCTTCCAGCTGAAGAAGTGGAAAAAAGTGCAAAAAGCTTGCAAGAAGCATTCCCTGCTAATCTCGAAGTAAATTTGTCCAACGAATTGCTCTAGTTTTTTAGTAACACAGAATTTGCTAAAAGGGCATTGGATGCGACTAGGTCTTCAGATTCTTCAACTGCAGCAAGACCTTCTCATCAAGCTAATGAAGACGATGACATCAATGTTAAATCGGATGATGATGATGACATCACAGTGAAGGTTGACTCCCAGAGCTGCGTATATATAGGCTTCTTGTGGCAAATAACTTAGAAACTGTATTTCCAAACACTGTTATTGCGTTTCGCATTTATCTTAGTATGATGATATCAAACTGTTCTGGTGAACGGTCGTTCTCCAAACTTAAGTTAATTAAAGATCAGCTGCGTTCATCCATGACACAAGAACGGCTAAATAGTCTTGCTCTGCTGAACATTGAAAATAATATTCTACGTAATATTGATATGTCATCTGTGATTAATGATTTTGCTCTTAGAAAATCCCGTAAGCATAACGTTTATAAGCCATAGGGGCTAACTGCTAAGGCATCTGCAAAGTGAAAGTTTTCATCAGTGAAAGTGAGTCAATTGACTCAATTTTTAATGTCACTTCTTCATGTTGTTTATTCCTTTCGACCTTTAACTTTAATCCTTGTATAAAATAATCTTTTGTAATATTATAGTATTCAATCTTAGCACATTCAACGTGTTGCACTTTGTTTACAAGATAAATTAGATAATGAAAGACCGAATTAAAAATTTATCGTTTGAAATACAAGACAGATTTCCCCCTCTGAATCTGAATACTACTGCATTTTGGTGGACATTGGGGGGGGGTGCAAGGGCCCCGCAATGATATTATGCCATGGGCCCCACGAGACGATAATCCGGCCCTGCAGCCGAAGCCGAGAAAAGGGTCTACGAACAGACCGAGGTTGAGGAAAAACAAAGCGAGCGTTTGCCTCAACAAAATACAATCAAGCAGCGATCTCTGCGTGTACCATCGCAACCTCCCTTACCTCAAACTTTAGAATGGATTGCTGAAAACAACCCATCGTTAATCGTTAATGATGGCTTTACATATTTTACACTGAATTTTCTCACACAAATCTTTTTTCAATTTATACTTTAACATGGACCTCCCGCATTTTGAACATTTCTTTATTCCATCGCACACAGATTCAGCTTTTCTTATAGCTTTTTTTGTGATTATTGTAACATGCTTCGCTTTTAAATGTCCTCTCACACTCAATGCAATCCACAGGTGAAACAAAAGGACAATCCATAGAGCGACAACATCTACATATAGAAGGACATAAATGACTTTTGGCAATAGAATATTCCTTTCTACATGTATGGCAATAATAACTTTGAGCGAAGAAACCAGGCATGGAATTAATAACATCATAATGGTTATTATGTAAATATAGGTAAACTCATTTAATATCCTGTTGAGTAGGTTGTTGAGGATATATGATAACATCACCATGATCTGCTGAAATGATATTTATTTCATAATCAGTAAGAAATTCTTGAAATAATTTAATCTCTGGAATTCCACATGGTCCTCTTGGTACATTCGTTTTCCTGTGTAAGTCCTCTGCCATCTTTTTTTGGAGTGAGCTTCAGCTGTCTTTTATGAGATAATATTTCTCATCTTTTTCAATCTTAGCAATAGCCACAACTAAAGCTCTAGCAAGACATATGTCATCGTTATTCTTTATGACGACCACTGATTTTTTCGCTTCTAGATGCTCTAAAAGTTTAATATGACATTGTTTAAAACTCCCTGAACCCGATGGCATTTCAACATGAACAATGTCAGCGATCACCGAATGATTTAAACTAAAATGTTGATTGGATTGTACCACACGTTCAACTTGAGAAAAAATTCTTTCTGTAGTAAAACGAGAAACAGGCATAAATGGTAATGATATACGTTTTTTAATTGCGGTGTACATAAAACGAAACGTACTTGATCATTCTCGTTCATTCCATTGGTAATATCATTAATTAACTGTTCGAGAATTTGTTGTGTGCGTTCATATTCTTGAATAATGTTAAGATCCTCATTCTCGTTATTAAAACAAACTCTGTAATCGATGCCTTTATAGTTTTAAACTTTTTCGATTTAACCTCATTAATTTTTTCAATACGATAAAAAGAAGTATGCTCTTGCATGTTCGTTTTCTCATGCTCCGTGCTTGTACTTGCTCCCTCGTTCATTCTATCTTGTCCTCCAATTTGTTCATCATTTTCATTCATCTCATCAAAACCTCGTTTCCGACTGCCCGAACCGACTTGCATATCATCTTCATCTATTTCCCAAATCCAATCATCGTCGTCATCATCAATTAAACGTAAAAAACTCTTGTTTGGATTTAAAGGGTATTGGCAATAAATTTTTTTATTCTTGCGATCAATTAAGCATATCTATGGAATACTTAATTTCCTATTTTTACTTGTCCAGTGCGTTTATTTGCTTAGATATATCCGAAAGCATTTGACAGTCATCCGCCATCTTGAAAAAAAACTCATATGCTAATATATGCGACAATAAATTTGTGACGTCAGGTGCAGGGGAGCAGATTTACAATAGTATGCGTGCAAGCGCATTCTAAGATGACTTTGACTAGAAACAACAGAAAAACCAATTTTTTTCTTTCAATTGAATAAAAAAACTAAACGCTACTACCTTACTGTACGTATTAATGGTAAATTTAAAATAAACACGTTTATTTCGTCGTCGTAAAAGTGCTGATTATCATTATAGCTGTTACTATGTCAATTACGCCGGCTCGTCTAATTTGTACATTTCGTATACTTATCTCTACGCACACGAAGATCAGGCAACCAATGTATATTTTCTCACTATTCACTAAACGACTATTTATTTCGCTAGTGTCGAATTGAAGTCGAAATTTTAGCCGGCATCATCAAGGAACATTAGCATATCAGCTACATATATTTAAAGTGTCAACATTTTCAACTTGGTCAACCCAGATCAGATGACCATATTAGCCTCCATAGGGCTTGTTCATGTTGTCATTTCATGCGCAACAAACATACAAATTTGTTATTTTGGTATCCTACTAGTCTGTCTGAAAGTTTATTGTTAGTGCATCTTGTAGGCACAGCATTTTTCAGTATATACGCTACAAATTAAGTTATACAATTGGATACTTGGCCCTAAGTAAACATGCAAAGAACATGACTCATATGAGGCATCTATCAGGTTGCTGTGTGGGAGTCAAAACTAACGCTAAATAGAAAGCAATGAAGATAATTTCAAAGATTCAGGCAAACTGTTCCACAATAAGCAAAAACAGAGTTAGATGAGATTGTTATAACCCATGCAGCACTATTTTTTAGTTTTTGCAGTTTATTGCTGAACGATGCTATCCTATAGACGGAGTAAAATGGGAAAAATGTGGCTCAATTGACGCTTGATGCACTCTCGCTGCTAGCTGTATCTTATATATCTTTATTCCTAGCGCTAATTCAGGATGTCACCAGTAAAACTGTTTATAAATTTCATCAATATGACCTTTTCCAAATCACGTTTTCCTCAACTGCAAGACCAAAAGATTTAGATCTTGTAACTAACTCTTTCAAGTTGATTGTTGCTATATATATTAACATGCAGTTTCATGATCATCAAATGTTGCAAGTCTTTAGCAAGAACCAATCATCACGGATACGGTTTACCGAAAATCGTATTCCAACGTTTTTTCGTGCCAACGTAATGATTCAATAGCATTCAGACTTTCCAGACACATGCATTTTTAGCCTAAAACGCATGGTCGACTTCCTCATCAGATGATTGACTATCATCTGAGTCACTCTACGCAATGATATTGCTTCGCTTCAAACCTGGTTCGGTTTCAAATTGATAGGGCAATATCTCTTCTACTTGTTTATCCTGGTTATTTTTCATTTAAGTGATTGAAAAGCGCGAAATCCCTTACAAGAACTACGACATTGCGATTTGCGCGTATAAAATATATTTGTTGTTTTGATCTCCCCTGCACCTGACGTCACAAGGGTCAAGTTACCAA